TATATATATATATATATATATATATATATATATTGAATTTAAAATAAACTTAATTAATTTATTCTGAGAGGATTTCAGTAAATATAATATATAAATACATAGCCTATAACTGGCTCTTATATAACAAATATGGCGTCTTAATAAGGAAAATTTGTCTTAAATCCTGTTATCACAATCTCAAGAAAATACCTTTTATAACATTATTAAGTGGAAAAATAGTGTGTGGCAGCATTGCGTCACCAAGAATGAGTCAGCCTGGTTTCGGAATATAAAAAACAATTATTTATTCATTTTTGTTTTTTGGGGATTTAATTTTTTGTTATTCGAAATCAAAAATGAAAATAAAATAATTTTTGAATTTTGCTTTTTCGATTTTTACCATGAAAAAGAAAAAAGCCTTGTATTTTCATATTCGTTTTTAAATTTTAAATCGAATATCCTTTTTCGTTTTTCAATCTCCGTTTCTAAAATGAAAATCCAGTGACCAAAAGATACACTGACCAATCAGTTGGCCTATCTGGTTTCGAAATATAAAAAAAACAAGTCTTTATTTGTTTTTGTTTTCTGGTGATTTTATTTTTTATTTTTGTTATTCAAAATAAAAAATGAAAATGAAATCATTTGTGGATTTTGTTTTTCTGTTTTTCATCATAAAAAAGAAAAACGAGACGTTTTTTATTTTCGTTTTCAAATTCAAAAACGAAAATCATAAAACATTGAATTTCAATTTTCGTCTTTTAATTTTAAAACGAAAATCAAAAAATTACTCGTTTTTTGTTTTTCAATATCTATTTCTAAAATGAAAATCTAATGAGCAAAAGATTCACTGACCTGACCTTAATTAAACTGCTTTAAATGTTTTTGTTTTTAGATGGTGTAGTTACCAGCATTCACCAGCAGGTGCTAACTGGTCCACACTAACCAGCTGAACCCTCACTCGTTCAGAAAAAAATCTTTCATTACCTTCTTAAACGGTGGGAAATTTTTCATAACAGCAATTCTTTACCTTGATACAGAGTTTCTTTTTAATAATTGACATCTTGATTAAGCACAATATATCTTTATGAGCCATAATACAGTTAGACTTGCTTTATCGACTGCTTGTGTGCTTTAGAAAGGCTTAGTGAGTTACAGATCTCAGCTTCTCAGATTCAGCAGGACACAAAGAGCTCATTCACAGCTTAAAAACAGCTTACATAACAAACAAGCATAAAAGTGTCGTGCAGGAAAACAAATGATTGTAACTTAACCCACTTAAATTACACAGCAAGTAAGTGACAAGTGATTTAGAGGCCTTTTCTGTCATAAATCAATGACCATCACATGTGAAATCTGTCAGATGAAGCTTTAAAAGAGCTATTAAAAGAAATCTGCTTGCTTTCGTTAATACAAACCTGTATGGTGTTTCATCTAAAATGCATGAACTAATTTTTCCTAGGAATAATATTTCTAAAGGAGCTGTGGACATGGAATTAAACCAGATTTTGGTAACAATTAAACTGCAAACATAAAAATAAATCAAAACCAAATATTCTGAAAGACGAGTCGTGTAAAAACAATGAAATGACACAAGGAGAAAGTGCTGAACTACTGAAACATATTTAATATTTTATATAAAAGACTTTTTTGGTGACGGCAGCTTAAAGACGCCTCTCATATGGAGAATAGAGCCTCATGCATTGCTCAGGTGTGAGTTTTAAAGACTTCAACAGAGCGTCTAAATCTTGATGGTTCTGTCAGTCTCGTCAATCAAATCTGAGCTTTATTTAGTATTTTCTATTGGATTGAAATCAGGTGATTGGCTGGGCCATTCTACAGCTTGATTTTCTTTCTCTGAAAGCATCTGAGAGTCTCCTCGGCTGTTTTGGATCATTGTCTTGCTGAAATGTCCACCCTGGTTTCATCTTCATCCTCCTGCTAATGTAAATGTTGGACTGAAGCAGCTGATATTCATTTACACTGAGGAAGGGCAGAGGATTGCTGAAGAACTACTAAGAGATTTCAGCTGCTGTCTGGGCCTTCACTGCCTTTCTACACCTCCCTTTCTTCATGTGTTCAATACCCTTTTACCTCCGTTATTTTATTTTATTTTGCATAACTTAATTAGTAAACTGTTTAGATTTGTTTTCTATGCATAAATGAATTTATCTGGTTGTTACCAACATCATTTCTAGTCAACAGCACCCTAAGAAATTTGTTTTCTGAGAAAAATAGTGACATGTTCAGTATGTATTTCCCCCACTACAATAAAGCAATACACTAACAGATATTATAAGCAAAATAGTTTTGCGCCATAGGTCAATATTTTGACAATAGCGTATATCATGATAAAAGCTTCAGCATTTAATTGCAACTAGAATTTTTTTTATAGCCAAAGGGGTCTATTTTAACGATCTAGGCGCAAAGTCTAAAGCGCATGGCTCATTAAGGGCGAGTCCCTGGCGCATGATCTAACAGCGTTGTGCTTATTCTCTTAATGAGTTTTGGGTGTGTTTTGAGCATAACGTGCAATAAACCAATCAGAGTCTCATCTCACATTCCCTTTAAAGGTGCTTTCACACTTGGTTCAATTGCCTGGACCGTACTCAAGTTCGATTGTTCCCCCCCTTCCACCTTCTCGGTTGGTTTGTGTTCACACTGTCTTTTTTCCTTCTGAACCCCGGTACGCTTGCGTCATCGAGATGCTGTTTTGTTTACGGCTGTTGCTAGGTGACGGTCACGAAAGCAAAGCGGCGAAATGGAAAGACGTCCGCACGTTGCGGTCATTCTGCTTTTGCTGAAGCTTTTGGACATACAGAAAGTGAATCGCGACCATCTGCCGCAAAAATATTATAAACATTCAGAACATCACACAGTGTCTGCAGAAGCTGTTTGTGGAGGAGACAAGCAGACATCACTGTGTTTCACTGTTAACCCTGGCTCAGTCCCGCTTGTCACTAAAGTACAATACGTGACACACACCCACACACACGAACGAACGTTATGAAAATGATAGTTTGCTGTACAGTCGGCGGTTCATTTCCGTTATTTGGTATGATTGCATTCACATCAGAAGAAAACTGTACAAGAGTTCGCATGAACCGTACCCCAGACCACCTCTTTAAGGCGGACTAGGGTACGGTTCAAGGGTGGTTACCCGAGTTCAAAAGACATGTTCACACCAAGCGGCAACCTCCCGCTCTCCCTCAGGAAGCCAATACGGAAGTAACTAAAACTGCAATTCATCCGAAATTCCGCCAGTCGTGGCCGCTCCTGGCTCCAAAACAGAGCAAATTTCAATTGAGCCCACTGTTAGAATGGCCAACTTTACAGCAGAAAAAAAGGTGTTTACAGCCTGCTACAAAAAAAGATTTTGGTTAATACAGCTAATATTACCCTTCATGACAGCTGTGAGGGGGTGAATTTTTTTATAACTCATCCGTTTCCTTTATATTAAGTTATATTAAGTTTGCATAATTAAGGGAGTGGCCACTTGAGTGACAGTTAGGTCTAGCTGGTCGCCGTCACGTCACCTCAGCTGAATCCTGCAGATTAGCCACTGAACTCGACATATTTATCGTATTTCTGTGTTGTTTTATGTGGCTTTACACAGTCAACTGCCTTTTGGACTTGTTTCCTACAATTATTAGAGGGCATGGCATGCTGAGTGAACTTAATTGTGCTCACAAACCATTCACATGGCCTCCGTTACCCATGTGAGTAAAGTTATATACTTATATACCATCTCTATACATGTATTTGTTTTATTTAAGATCATTTATCGTTTATATTTATATTTAGAGCTGTAATGCACTCCAGAATCTGACGAACTGATTATCTGTAGGCTCTAGAACAGTCATCTGAAGTGTTGTCATACAGTGTTATGCTGGATTTCATCAATAGTCTTACATTAACTAACACAGACTATATCTGAAGTGTTTGTAAGTAATTTGCGTTTTCCTCCTGTTGAAAAACGTCATAAGAACAATGTTTAGTGGCTCAATGTATTACAGCAGTGTGTTTTTAAAAGTCTAAACACTTTATTGATATAGTGTACAACCAAGCACAAGTGTTCAGAACACAAACGAGTCACAGGTGATAAAGTATTGAGCGTTTTCCCAAAGTAAAGTGTGTCTGAACCAGGTCCAAGCTAAATGCCAGCAGGTGTCTGAATCTCCGCTCATTCTCCGCCTCTTTGCCCTTGTTTGGTATCCCGCCGTGGGTGTGATGACGCGCGAACAAAATGGCGACGGTTGGCCACACCTACTTGTGGCTTCTTTTGCGCTCTTTAGAAACCTATGGGTGACGTCACGGATACTGCGTCCATATATTTTACAGTCTATGGTTCACACTAGCTAAATGTACTATGACGTCAAACGAACCCAAGTGTGGACCAAAAGTGCTAGTGTGAAAGCACCCTAAGAGTCAGTTGCGTCGCACCATGCGCGAGGATAAAGAACGAGCCTCCTCCATTCGGCCTCTTTACCTTCTATTTACTTTTACTCTTTACTCCTTTACTTTTTTGAATAAGGAAACAGTGTTGTACGCACTCCACTGAAGACATCCATTAGCCGGCATATTCAATTTCCTTTGTTAAGCACAAAAATTAGTTTCAAAACTATTTCTAAATGCAGTTCCAATTTCAAGCAAATGAATACATGAACAATAATAATGAAGTGTGGATATAACTGAGTTATATCCAAACACACGTCCTGCTCTTATGTCCCATATGGTGACGCAGACGTCTCTAAAACAATTCTAAGCTAGTTTTTAATAAAACAAATATACATATGCATATAATAAATAATACTGCTAATAATAACATTATACTAAAGCAAATTGTCATGAACTCACTGAAAAAGCCCCACGACATGAAGGCATGAGGCAGGGGTTTTTATATTTGTGTAGCTAAATAATCCCTTTTCTAACATTTTAATCCTTTAATTGTTTTCATATGTAAAGATATTTGTGTATTGCTGTACATCCTGTGTGTAACTCGTACTTTAGAGCAGCTTTTAGTTAGTCAATGGTGTGGTCTATTTCAGTTTCTCAAAATAGCAATGCGCCTTAACACACCTCCTATACAGACCAGCACACCCACGAGTCCACAAAGTAGCGCAAATTGATTAGCTATTTAAACAACGTGATGCAAAACGTGAAAATTACTGTTGAGCTGGTCTGAAAATAGCAACAAATTATGCTAAACACGTCTTGTGCCTTTCTGCGCCGGGTGTATGATAGGGCCAAAAAGCTACCTTTTTAAACTACCTGTTAAAAATGAGCTGAAACAACACAATCATTGAGTTTTTTAGGGAAACAGCTTAATTATTTTTTGTTAATCCACTTAAATTTGTAAAAACTATAAAATTAACTTAATACCTTCATGTTGCCCCAAAACAAAACAAAACTTGTTTTACAGTGTATTATCTTATTTGTAAAGCAGTTAGAGTTGTGTAATGCATTCAGTGTTTCAGTGTTTGACTCACAGTGGTGAAGTCTTGACGTAGCTGGCGTTGGCGTGTGCTGGCGGGCACTCGGGGCTCACGCACTGAAATCCTCCGCCGGTGTTGATACAGGTGCTGCCGCGGCTGCAGTTGTGCTGTTGTGTAAGACATTCATCCACATCTGGACCAGCCGCAGGCCACAGCGACCAGCAATAATAGAGGGAAACAGAGCAGTGGAGGAAAGGAGTGAGCTGGATGTTTGTTTGCACTGTAAATCTGATTTGTGTACACTTCTGTGATCATAGACCTGCTCCTGGCTGCGTTTCTGAATGAGATCATCTATAACGCCATCGTCACCCGTGTTGAAATACTGAAGCGGATTAGGGTAACACTTCACTTGAAGGGGTGTTCATAATAGAGCTGCACGATATTGGAAAATTGCAATATTTAATTTTTCTGCAATGTATTTTAGGAAATGAATACAATTTCAGCAAATGGTCTGAATAGGCAAGACGAGTTTATTTACAGTATATAGTACATTTCATACACAATGGTAATCCAAAGTGCTTTACATAAACAAATGAAAGAAAAAAGAAAATAAAAAGTATTAAAATGATTAAAAACAGATTCAAATATGTTAAAGGGCACCTAGGTTACCCCTTTTTCAGATTTAATATAAGTCTTTTGCGTCTCTAGAATGTGTATATAAAGTTTCAGCTCAAAACACCCATCAGATTTTTCATTATACCTTTTACAAGATGCTGTTTTATACACATTTCCAGCAGGGGGTGGTTTTGTCGTACTGCGCCTTTAAGTCGAGTTCTGCCCGCCTACTGTTTCTACGTGCCTTCCCGCATGTTTTAATCTCCTCCCTCGGCTGCGTCTGACAACAGACAGACTTAGAGGAAGAAGGTCTCATGTAGCGTTTGTGAGAAATACTACAGTAAGAACTAACCTTTACTAATCAGTATTGTGAAGTTGCATTAATGAGTCACACACAATATCGTTACAAAGTTCACGCGCACACACACACACAGAGATACACACACACACACACACATGCAGATAGACAGAGCGCGCTTAGCTTAGCACTGTTTTTGCATTCAAATGCAGGGGTTTTCAAAGTCTTAGACAATGGGCCTCCCTTTTGACACAACTTATCCATTGGCGCCCCCCTCCTCCCAAACACGCATACACACACACACACACACACACACACATACATATATATATATATATATATATATATATATATATATATATATATATATATATATATATATATACAGTATATATAAAGACACAGACAGATGTAAGACTGTTAACTCACTTTTATCATAATTTGCATGAAAGTGCAATTATTTACAGAGTAATAACAAGTATTTTAATATAATGTTTTAAACTAGGATGATGGTTAATATGAATAGAACAGATCCAAGAACTTCCATCCCAGTCAAAACAGTCGAAGTTTAGCGGGTCTCATGCTGTCATTAGCCAAAATATCTTGACAAACCACACATAAAGGTCGTGGTTCATCAGCTGGTCCTGTCCACGTAAATCCTAAACTCAAATACTGATCATCATATCGTCGTCTTTTGGGTTTAAGCCCTGAACTTGAAGGCTTTGAATCGGGGGGGTCTCAGAAACCGATCCATTGCTGGCACGTGCACACATAGGGCTCAACCTGTGCAGTGCACATGCCCTTTTTAGTCCTGGATAGAAAGTGACCTTCCAAAATTATCAAAAGTGCCCCCGTGACGCGGCACACCCTCGGTCCCGCCCTTCAGTAGGCGCACGACAACACCGCTCGTGAGCATGCGCGCGACAGACCCATCCCCCTGTATTGGCAGGCTTGCCAAACAGAAGCGAATTTACAGCTATGGCCTTCTGGGTAAAAAAGGTTTTCTTATTTTTGACGTATTATTTTTTTAGCTTTGTTTAATTAAAACGCTTAAATATAATAAAAAAATACATATAATAATTAAACTTAATAATTATATTTTTATTATATATTTTTCCCGTGCCTCCTCTGACATGCTCTGGCGCCCCCCAGGGGAGGCGCGCCTCACACTGCTCAAATGTGACAGGATACAGGCTAACCTCCACTGCTGTGTGGATATCTGTTATGCTAATGTACAAAATAAACCTGATTTAACGTCCACAAACCGGGATTGAAGCGTCTTCTTTTATACAGTAATTGTTCTGACACACGGCTGTGCTGATGAAGTAAAGCTGAAGTAAATCGCTGTACTTCATTACACACTTGCACTTTTTTAAAACACTTTAAACATGTGAAACTCACTCTTAATCACATTTGATGATGATTGCTGATCCTAGCGAACAGAACAGACATTTTATTCCCGGTTGCTTTGCATTTGTCTGCCTGGTCTTGTTGACATATACACGTGACTACCGGGACATGTTAATGCGCGCAGCTGTCAATCAATATTGGTGGGCGGGAAGAATCGCACTCCTACATAAAGTTGTGGTCGGTCTGAAAACCGCTCTAATTAGTCCACCGTTTTTATGTTGTTAAATTGAAAAAAAAAGGACTGGGTGTGTTTATATCACCCCAATATGATGGTCTATACACTATATATACACATATGTTTATCCAAATAGCTTGAAAAGTAGATTTTTCACCATAGGTGCTCTTTAAAACAGGTTATGAAAGAATGAAAAAAAAAAGAAAGACATAATAGTGTGATCTGCTGGACGTAGCACAGTGCTTATTCATTAAAGGCACAGCTAAACAGATCGTGTCTAATGTTGGAGCACATCTGATCATTTCTGGGAGCTGATTCCAGCAGCGAGAGGCGCTGTTAGTAGCTGAGGGCCGATTCACCCTGCTTTGACTGAACTCCTGGAATTTCTAATTTACTTGATCCTAATGATATGAGTGATCTGTTAGGTTTGTTTTCAGTGAGCATATCTGCAATGTATTGAAGTCTTAGGCCATTTAGTGATTTATAGACAAGTAGTATACTTTAAAGTCTATTCTGAATGTATCTGGGAACCAGTGTAGAGACCTGAGGACAGGTGTGATGCGCTCTGATTTTCTGTTTCTGGTCAGAATCTTGGCTGCAGCGTTCTGGATGAGCTGTAACTGTCTGACTGTCTTTTTAGGAAGACCAGTGAGGAGGCCGTTACAGTAATCCATTCTGCTGCTGATAAAAGCATGAACAAGTTTCTCTAAGTCTTCACTGGAAACAAAGCATCTGATTCTTGCAATGTTTTTGAGATGATAGTATGCTGATTTACTTACTGCTTTGACATGACTACTGAAACTCAGATCTGACTCCAGAGTCACACCAACATGCTTGACCTTATTTTTTGTTGTTTGACCTTTGAAGCCAAGGTATGCATTCACCTTGAGAACCTCATCTCTGTTCCCAAACGCAATGACTTCAGTTTTCTCTTTGTTTAACTGAAGAAAGTTTTGGCACATCCACCTGCACTATTTGTGGATTAAATTATTGGTGGGGACATTTCAGAATCAGAATCAGAAAGAGCTTTATCAGAAAGAGCTTTGTTGCCAGGTATGTATGCACATACAAGGAATTTGTTTTTGTGTCAGAGCTTCTACAGTGCAACAGAATTACAGAGACAGGACAATAAACAGATAATAAATATAGAAAAAAGATGTAAGAAGTTAATGCAAAATATACAAATAGACAAGTGTATGGAGAGCTATATTACTATATACAATGTTATATGTGCAGCTGTTATGTGCAAATTGGCATGTAAAGTGTGTTGTTAAATAAGTGTATATGTGTATAAAAGTGTATGGCAAGTAGTGATGTTTGTTCCACAGTTATTATTATCAAGTGTTCATGAGATGGATTGCCTGAGGGAAGAAACTGTTTCTATGTCGGGCTGTTCTGGTGCGCAGTGCTCTGTAGTGTCAATTTGTATGGTCGGTGGATATTGGTGGGGATGCACCACCTCCGTCCACCCTAAATCTACGCCCCTGCAACTGATTATGGCTTACACTCCATCCAGACACTTGTGTTCCGCTGATCAGTCGGTATTAAAAGCCCCAAAGGCCAACCTCAAAAGCAGGGCGAATGTGCCCTGGTCTTCGCCTTTGGAACGCGATGCCGCTAAAATTAAAAATGGCTTCATCACTGCAAGTTTTCAAGTCTAAATTAAAGACTTAATTATTTTCCAGGTCGTTCGAAGCAGAAGTCCCTTCTTCAAGGGGCCAACTGTTTAGTTTTCAATCCTGTTTAATGTGGTCATCTGTGGTAACATCTCTTAACTAGGCAGAATTATTTAAAGGGTCAATTACTTTTTTTATTTTTAGGCATTGAAACCAGAGTCTTTCTGTATAATCTATTTTACATTTGCTATGATCTCTGTTACATTACATTATTGCTGTTTGGTTTATTATGTATGTACTGCTTGTACGTATCTTCTCTTCAAAGTACTTTGTGCAGCCTTGTGGCCATTTGGAAATGCGCTATATAAATAAACCGAATCAAATAAATCGAACTTGAACTTGGACCAGCCAATTGCTGCATTTCTGTTCAACTATCACAAGCACATGCAGTAATCTCAGATCATTTCATCCATCCAGATATTTGAATTTAATTCTTAAACTTTGTTTGCATGATTAAAGATACTGCCAAATTAGCTTGGACCTATTAAGCGAGATATGAAGAATGAATGGCTATAAAGCACTTGCTAAGCGTATGTTTGTCACTCACCCTCACAGCTTCTTCCATCGGCGAGCAGCTTGTATCCAGTGGGACAGGAGCAATGATACGATCCTGGGACGTTCACGCAGGCATGGACACACAGAGGCCCTCCACGGTCAGCTTTATACACCTCACATTCATTCACATCTGGACACATGCATGCACACACAGGGGAAAAAAAGTATGTTAGTATAAATATAATATGAAGTGGGACTCTGACAACGCAGTGTGGATCTAAAAGTAGGTTTATTACACAGAGATGATCAGACAAGCAATGATCAACACAGGGGCAAACAGATGTATACAGGTAAATCCAGAGTCGTGGTCAATAAACAGGCAAATGGTCAAAAGGCAGGTGGTAGACTACGTAAACAAACAAAACAAAGCAAGGATCGCTACATGGCAAGACAAGGCAAAAGAAACTTAGCCCTGAGGTTTGTGTGTGTGTGTGTGTGTTGTATTTAAAGTCCATCTAATCAGTCTTTGAGCAGCTCCCAGCTGTGTGAGTATAATCAATTGTGATCTGGAACAGGTGTGTGAGTGTGTGGTGCATGACTGGAACTTGTAGTCCATATACCAGCATATTTGTAGTCCGTTAGCGATCTGCACAGTCTGGATCGCTGGTGACCGTGCCAATAAGGAATATCTGATGATGGACTAAATTTTATAACTAAAATAAATTTTTTTATGTGCATTTAGGGACATTTTCATTACATAAAAACATGATTATATGGTGTCATGGCTTTGCAATAACAAAAATGTCAATATAATGGAAGCAAAAACAGCCACCAACATAACAAAAGTGTAGACAATTTGGACAGAGTATTGAGTTGAGAAAATTTAGACCAAATTGAGACTCAAAATTACCCCAGACTGGATGAAAACATCCCCAACAGCACACAAGGGTTAACTCTTTGTATTGAATTTTAACAGATCATGTGATTGTTGAAATGGGCATGATGGGACGTCATTAAAGGGCCTTGAAATCCCCCTGTCTCAGCAAGGGGATTTCACACCTTTACTTTAAAAAAAGTCAGGAAAGTGGGTGTGTCCACCTCTGTTTAGGTGGGAGTGTCGGAGGAGGGAAAGAGGGAAGGTTTTGCATAAAAATGGGAGTTTCAGTTTGAGTTTCAAAGCTATCATTGCCTATTAATGAAGTTGCACCTCATTCACAATAGTGCGCTGATTGGTTTAAACCAAGTCTTACTCATGAATTAATGCTGCGCAGTCAACAACAACGTCACGATGTACACGCCGGTATAGACACCCACTCTCCACGCTGAATTACACGCAAGGATCTACTTGTCGTGACGCAGCTTCAAACATTTGTTTCAAACTAAAAAAAGAACGAATTTGCTCGAAATAACGCAAAAACAACCATTTTTCAATTTTTTGTTAAATAAATATGTGCTAATAGTGTTTATTGCAGCGTAGGACACATATATATGACTGTCCACAGCTCAAAACATGTTCTGGTTTTTCGTGACCCTTGAATAGACTAACCAGCCTTTTCAGCGCATTGTAAAACATCTGATATGTTGCTTTGCTCATTTCTAAAATCCCTCAGCCAAAGTCTGTCATCACTGTGGTTCAGTATTATTATTATTCTAATATCATCACCTCCAGAACTGTCTTGAGCAACTGTTTGAGCTCCCAAAGAGCTTCTCAGGCCTCCAAAAGCACCACATAGCATTTCATCTTCTGAGGCACAATTTATTTATTATTGAAGAAAGAATCCCAGTGTCGGGCGATGCAGTGGCGCAGTAGGTAGTGCTGTCGCCTCACAGCAAGAAGGTCGCTGGGTTGCTGGTTCGAGCCTTGGCTCAGTTGGCGTTTCTGTGTGGAGTTTGCATGTTCTCCCCGCGTTCGCGTGGGTTTCCTCCGGGTGATCCGGTTTCCCCCACAGTCCAAAGACATGCGGTACAGGTGAATTGAGTTGGCTAAATTGTCCGTATTGTATGAGTTTGTGTGTGAATGTGTGTGTGGATGTTTCCCAGAGATGGGTTGCCGCAGGAAGGGCATCCGCAGCGTAAAAACTTGCCGGATAAATTGGTGGTTCATTCCGCTGTGGCGACCCCGGATTAATAAAGGGACTAAGCCGACAAGAAAATGAATGAATGAAATCCTAGTGTCTTCTGGATGGAAACGCTGCTTTTGTTCACAAATAATTGAGCAATATTCCAGTTTTGTGCATGAATCTAATTCGCATCTTTGAATAGAAACGCAGCTAGTGATGTTCTTACCCTGGCAGATGCTGTTATCTGAGGTGCCGCTCATGTGGAATCCAGCATCGCAGCTGCAGTGTTGCGCTCGGTCCACTTTAGCACAGCGAGGTTTACGACTGAAGGCCGGATCATTCATGACGCTCCACTCCGGAGGCGCTGAACGAGACGGAGGAAATAAAAGAAAGAGCAGCTTTAGCCTCCCACAAACACAGAACACATCCACACGCATGCTTTCATTTATCAGCCGGAACACAGGTTAAAGGTGAAGTGTGTCATCTCTTATTTGGAACGGCAAGAGTATTTTTATTGCACAAGCAAACGTCTTGTCCATGATTCATCGGCGGGTTTGGTATTTTAAGCAATGCAATACTGGCCAGGTTCCACATAGTCAGATTTAAGACTTGTTTTTTGTTTGTTTGTTTGCTTTATTTATAGAGCACATTTAAAAACAACAGATGTTGACCAAAGTGCTTTATAAAAAGACCAGCATACAAAATCTATACCTATATATAAAAATAAGCAAAATATATAGAACAGATTAAAATTAATTAATTGCAATCAAAAGGCAAGAGACAGAAGGTGATTTGGTTCCACTTTATATTAAGTGGCCTTAACTAATATGTACTTACACAGGAACTAATAGTTTGTTACAATGTACTTATTGTGTAAATACATGTATTTACTGTGTACTTATGCTTGATTAAATACATGTATGTAACTACATCTGTAACTAACTTTTGTAATTACATTTGTAAATACACTGTTGACCATCCCTTACACCTTAATCCACCTTTAAACCTACCCATGCCACCAAACCTGTCCACAACCCAACCTCTATCCCAACTTAAAAGCACCACAAGTGTTCTCAAATACATTATAAATACAGTAAGTACATTGTATTTATTTTTTTGATGTAAGTACATAGTAGTTAAGGACACTTTATATATAGTGGGACCGGTGATTTTTTTAGATGAGACTTAAAAGCACCAAGTAAAGAACATGACCTGAGATGTAAAGGCAGACCATTCCACTGTCGGGGGGCTGCATCAGAAAAAGCCCTGTCACCTCTTGATTTCAACCGTGTTTTGGGGACAACTAGCTGAAACTTGTTTTCCGACCTGATTGGCCTCAATGACGTGTGCCAGTGAAGAAGCTCAGAGATGTAAATAGGTGCCGGACCATTCAAACTTTTAAAAACAAGTAGCAATAACTTACATTGAATTCTAAATTGGACTGGAAGCCAGTGAAGAGATGATAAAACTGCTGAATTACTACAATTTTTTTTGTCCCAGTTGAAAGCCTACACTGCAAAAAATGATTTTCTTTTTTAGATTTCTTGTCTTGTTTCTAGTCCAAATATCTAAAAATTCTTAAATCAAGAAGAATTTTCTAGACAAGCAAAACATATGGTCTTGTTTTCAGGAATAATATGTCAAAATTAAGTGAGTTTTTCCTTAAAACAAGCAAAATAATCTGCCAATGGGGTAAGCAAAATAATATTGTTTTTCCTCTTGACATAAGATTATTTTGCTTACCCCATTGGCAGGTTATTTTGCTTATTTTTAGGAAAATCTCACTTAATTTTGACATATTATTCCTGAAAACAAGACCATATGTTTTGCTTGTCTAGAAAATTCTTCTTGATTTAAGAATTTTTAGATATTTGGACTAGAAACAAGACAAGAAATCTAAGTAAGAAAATCATTTTTTGCAGTGCAGCAGCTGCATTTAGAATTAGCTGCAGGCGTGCAATTGATGCCTGCGAAACTCCTGAATACAAAGAGTTGCAGTAGTCCAGTCTGGACATAATAAAAACATTATGATGGTTTCCAGCTCTTTAGAAAACAGAAAAGGCTTCAACTTTCTATAAGTTTACATTTAAGACCTAGGCATTAAAATTTAAAATAAGGACCATATTTTAAATGTTACAAAATAATTAGAGTCTCATCTCACCATGATATCCCAATGTGTGAATCTGCAATAATTCACCATAACAGGGGCGGACTGGGACTAAAAATCAGCACTGGCACTGTAGCCACACCAGCCCACATAACCACACTGACTCAGCCGCACACACGGACACGCACATTTACTACTTATATTGGTGTACAGATGGTGAAATACCATATGTAATAGATATTTAAACATTTAATGTATGTAACTGGAACAAAAACAATCCGTTTATAACAAATATACATAGTCATTTCATTCATTCATTTTCTTTTCGGCTTAGTCCCTTTATTAATTTGGGATCGCCATAGCGGAATGAACCGCCAACTAACCCAGCATATGTTTTACGTAGCGGATGCCCTCCAAGCTGCAACCCATCACTGGGAAACCCCTATACACACACATTCTCATACATGCACTACGGACAATTAGGCCAACCCAATTCACCAATAGCACATGTGTTTGGACTTGGGGGGAAACCAGGAGGAAACCCACGCAAACATGCAAACTCCACACTGAAACACCAACTGACCCTGCGAATAACTCCTGAATACAAAGAAGTGCAGTAGTCCAATCTGGACATAATAAAAACATTAATGATGGTTTCCAGCTCTTTAGAAGACAGAAAAGGCTTCAACTTTCTATAAGTTTACATTTAAGACCTAGGCATTAAAAATTCAAAATAAGGAGCATATTTTAAATGTTACAAAATAATTAGAGTCTTATCTCACCATGATATCGCAATGTGTGAATCTGCAATAACTTACAATAACAATAATAGTCACATGCCTTTACAACACTTCAATCTGTGTACGATTTCAAGATTTATTTTATTTAATTATTCATACACTAGTCGGCGCCAGTGGTGTAGTGGTTAGTGCGTCGACACATGCACTCCGGTGCTCGCGGCGACCCGGGTTCGATTCCGCCTCGCGGTCCTATGCCGATCCTTCCCCTCTCTCTGCTCCCCATGCTTTCCTGTCAGTTCTCTCTACTGTCCTATCAAAAATAAAGGTGAAAACCCCGAAAAAATAATTATTAAAAAAAAAAAATTATTCATACACTGAACAGCAAGAAGGTTGCTGGTTCTAGCCCTGGTCTGTTGGGTCTGTTGGCATTTCTGTGTGGAGTTTGCATGTTCTCCCCGTGTTTCCCCCCACAGTCCAAGCACATGCGCTATGGTAGAATTGGATAAGCTAAATTGGTCATAGTGTATGTGTGTGAATGCAAGAGCGTGTGGGTGTTTCCCAGTGTTGGGTTGCGGCTGGAAGAGCATCTGCTGTGTAAAACATTTGCCGGATAAGCTGGCGGTTCATTCTAAAATGAATGAATGAATGCATTGAATCGGCTTTTACTCAATATTCACTCTCCTTCAAGTGGTTCCAAACTGTTCTGGCTTTTTTTTTCTGTTGATCACAAAGGAAGATAATTTGAAGAATGTTGGAAACCTTTAACCATTCACCTGCATAGTAAGAAAAACAAATACTATGAAAGTCAACTGTTATTATCTTCCTTTGTGTTCAACAGAAGAAAAAGAAGTATCCAGCTGTGAACTATCCAAGTGAAGGATTCAGTTTAATTAAATTAATCTTTATTTCTAGAGATTTTTACAATGTAGATTGTGTCAAAGTAGCTTCACACAGAAGTTCTAGTCAATTAAAACAGTGTCAGTCCAGTTTTCAGAGTTGAAGTTCGGTTTATTTCAGTTCAGTGTGTTTTTATTTTCACTGCTGAAAGTCCAAACTCTGAAGAGGAAATCCATCAATGCAATGATCAACAGGATCAACAAATGATGACAGAATTTTCAGTTTTGTGGGACTGTCTCTTTAAGACCCTGTGGAAACCCTATATATTCCAGCTTCCCTTCCACCTTGTCAGTTTTGGACAGATGTAAAATAGTTTAAAGGCACACAGACCTGTCTGCGTCTGGTATTGGCATTGACTGCCGCTCCAGTTGTATGGACAGGTGCACTTATACTTGTTCAGAGCCTCCACACAGGTGCCGCCATTCTGACACGGGTTACTGGAGCACATGCTCACATCTGCAGGAAAAACACAGCACACTTAAAGGGACGGTTCACCACCTAGCAACAACAAAAAGTACCATTTACTCATCCTCAAAGCTCCTCCAAGCCATTTCAAACCTGTTTGAGAACCATTGACTTTCAAAGTATGTCTCACCAGTTTCCAACATTCTTCAAAATATCTTTTTTAGTGTTCAACAAAAAAGTAGAAACTCAGGAGGGTTTAGATCCACTTGAAGGAGAGTACATGTTTAGTAAATGTTCATTTTTGGGTTAACTATGACTTTGAGAAGTCCATAAAAAGGCTAAAATAAAAAATATACATGTATTTTGGAAGATTTTGGAAACGGTAACCATTGACTTCCAAAGTATGTTTTACCGGTTTAACATTCTACAAAATATCTTCTTTAGTTTTATATACAAAAACTCAAAAGGGTTTGAATAAAAAAAAAAGATGTACATGTTTATTTTTAGGTGAACTGTCCCTTTAACATACTGACAGTTACAACTCTTTTTGTATCCTTGTTGAAACTCCAAGATTTATGTTACTTTAGCAAGCTAAACACATTCTGTACTGTACTAGAAACATAGAGGGGACTGACTGACAATGGTCTACAGCCGATCAGCAAAACACAATGCCTTGTAAAAAAAAAAAAAAAGCATGTCAAATTGCACAAACAAACAAACTGTGAGGCCACGAAAGGTAAACCTTGTTATAGCGAGGGGCTACTGTACAGCAAAAACACTATTTAAATTTATCTTGTTGAATATGTATTTACAGTATATTTACTGTAAAATTTTAAATAAATAGAATAAAATAAAATAAATATTTTAAAATACAGTATATACTGCATAACTGTCCTACAGTAAAATACAGATCATATTTAGTTTTGTATTGCGTAATAGTGTGAAAAAATAATTCAATAAAAAGTTTTAGAAAAACAAATACATTCTGGGATACAACTGCATTTTCTGTTTATTTTAGCTTTTAGCTTTAAAGCAATGCACAAATTAAAAAAAGAGGTAAACAACAAATCTTTATGGAAAATGACTTGAAATAGACACACAGTGCATCCGGAAAGTATTCATAGCGCTTCACTTTTTCCACATTTTCTTATGTTACAGCCTTTTTCCAAAGTAGATTAAATTCATTGATTTCCTCAACATTCTACACACAATCCCCCATAATGACAATGTGCAACAAGAGTTTTTGAAATTGTTGCAAAGTTATTAAAAACAAAAAAGCTGAAAAATCAAATGTACATCAGCATTTACAGCCTTTGATGTGAAGCTCTAAACTGAGCTCACATTCTGTTTCCACTGATCATTCTTGAGATGTTTCAGCAGCTTCATTAGAGTTCACCTGTGGTAAATTCAGTTGATTGGACATGATTTGAAAAGGCATACACCTGTCTATATAAGGTCCCAGGGTTGACAGTGCATGTCAAAGACCTCAGAGACAGGATTATCTCGAGGCACAAGGGGGGGTTCGGAATGGTTCTAATTAACCACCCACCATGCCCAAAAGGTCCAGAATTTGTCCTTTTAATTATTTTATATAATTTAGCTGAGTCCTCAGCAGTCAGATTCACAGCAAAAGGAGAATCCTCTGTCGGCTGTTGCTTCGGTGGGACTGTAATCTGATGTAAGAGAAGTCTTCTTTCACTACTGTATTATTTTTAAACAGAGAAAACATTTTACAGGTAACTTTTATTATGAATGTTGTACCTTATTCCTTAAATAAAAATGAGCAATAAAAAGGTGTAAGCACCAGAAGTGGACCATATTAATTTGAATATATTTTGCCTTTTGTTGACATCCAGGAATTTTCAAATGTACTTTTTTTTCTAAAGAGGCTAGAAAAACATTCGAAGATATCATTGTTATTTCAGCAACTCTTAAACCTCTTCAGCTGCTTCAGAACGCAGCAGCACGAGTGGTCTTTAATGAACCTAAAAGAGCACATGTCACTCCGCTACTCATCCGTTTGCACTGGCTGCAAGTTGCTGTTCGCATCAAATTCAAAGCTCTGATGTTTGCCTACAAAGCGACTTCTGACTTTGCTCCTTCTTATCTGCTCTCACTTCTGCAGATTTATTTACCCTCCAGAAACTTGCGTTCTGTGAATGAACGTCGCCTCGTGGTTCCATCCCAAAGAGGGAAGAAATCACTTTCCCGAACTCGCGCGTTCAATCTGCCCAGTTGGTGGAATGAACTCCCTAACTGCATCAGAACAGCAGAGTCACTCGCTGTCTTCAAGAAACGACTAAAAACTCAACTATTTAGTCTCCACTTTCCTTACTAATCTGCAATTGCCTCTCTGGCTCCACCGCTAACTGCATCACAGGGAAAAAAAAATACTAATGTTAAGCTTCCTACAGCACTTATTCATTGTTGCTCTTATAGTTGTGTAAATTGCTTCCTTGTCCTCATTTGTAAGTCGCTTTGGATAAAAGCGCCTGCTAAATGATTAATTGTAAATTTATTGTTGTTATTATTATGTTTTAATTATTATTTTTTTTATTGAAATGGCCGAATTGTGACTGAGGACCGTTGAATGTACAGTTGAATAAATGACAGTAGGCTACAGTTTTTTTACTTTAAAACTTTCACAGATTGCTATTTTTTTTCCTAATGTCTTATTTTAATTTTTCTTTATTGCAAATTTTTCGAAAATATTTTTAGAACATTAAAAAGTGAGCATATGATGACATCTGACTAGATAATTTAACAAAACAAAAAAAGTACTGCTTAAAATGTCACTAAAATGCAGTGTTTAATCTCATAGTTAAATAAAAACTGAGGTGTCTAACTGCAAAAAAGGTCCACAGTTTGAGAAAAAAAGAACCAACAGGCTGGCTACGGGCCTGTATACCATAGACTTTTCATAGAATTTTGTCCCAGTTCATAACAATGAATCAAAAATATTGATTTTAAGCATAGTTTTAAGCATTTTTTCTCTTTAAATTTAATAGTAATTTATTTAGAATGGTTAATAAAAAGATTTTGTAAAAATAAATGCATGAAAACCATTATGCAAATTTTTAAATGACTTCATTCTTGTGTGGATGTGTGATCTGATTTTATATTTGAAAGTAGAGAACATGTTATATGTAATGAAGGAATTTTACAACCTTGATTATACAAAATGTTTGAGAAAATAATCTCAAATAAATGTTTTTTTTTTTTACTTTTTTTTGTATTTTATTGCATTTAACATTTCAGTAATAGGAAGATGTCATGATAATAATACTATAATCTAAAAAAATATCTTTGGATTTATGAGATTCCCTCAAAATAGTCTTGTTTTGCAAAGCCGCTAAATCTAGAATAGCGTGTTCTTCGTGGATTTGCATTCCTCATTAAGACTGAATGAAAGAAATGGCTGAAATGTCCCAGATTCTTATCTCCGTGTCTGTACAGAGCGAAGGATTATGTGTCCGAGGAAAACACCTGAATTGTTGAAGGAATTAAACGAGGTCGCATTCCTCCCTCTTCCCTGTACAGAATGGCACAGTAAAATGAAACCGATCTCCTGGAATGCCAACAATGGAGGAACGGGCAGACGAGCGAATGTCCAGCAGACTACACAAACTCGTTCTAATTCACTAAATAAGCCTAAAATCACCCACATTCATTCATATCTTATTTCTAATTATGAATTAGTTTTTCTTTGTTCATTTATTTATAAAGAAAAGTATTTTATTATTCCAGGTATTCACTAAATATCTGGTTTTTACAAATTCACACAAATCATGTTCATTTTTCTGTATAAACCAACACGTTTAGTAACACTTATTTATTCATTTATTTTGAATATGGCTTTAAAAATTTCAATAAATGAAGCTTTGTTGCTTGCTAAATTTTTGCAAGTAAATTTGAAAATGCAAAACGCTCCGGTTAACCCTCGTTTCCCGAGGAGGGCGTATGCAGTGTTGCCATGTGGAAAAACTTCCACTATGGGGATTTCGTTCAGAAAGCGAATCGTCTGAAAGAGTATGTAAATGGGCCAATGAAATGCCAATGAGTTGGCAGCATGCGCAGCTGATGCTCGTTGCAATCAATTTGGCAATGTAAGCACAGCAACATAGATATATATACTCTAGATGTCGCATAGGGACCCTGAGCATGCGTCTATAGCTCCGCGACATTGGTACAGTGCTCCTAGGACAAATGTTATTCAACCGCACTAGTCAAGACAGTGTTATTACGTGAAGATGCGGGACTTTAGCGCTGACTACGGGTGTAGTAACGAGCAAACAAAGAAAACAAAGCACAAAGGCAGAACATTTCATAGGTAAGATTAAGGTTAAACATACGTTTTTGTATGTTCTGAACTTTTGTGCTAATCAGGTAACGTTATTGATGATAATACGGTCACTGCATTCACCATAAGTAGCATCACTCGCACTAAACACTAGGCTTATGCTAGTTTTGTTGAATAAAATCAGCAAACAATGCAAAATAAACATGACAACGAGATGCTGCGCTGCCAGAAACTTGTATTATTGTCGGCTAGTAAACGAGTCGTTTATAACGGAGATTCATTCACAAACGAGTCGCTCCCTCCATCAGTATGAGCAGTGAAAGCAGGAGAGGAGGTGTGTTTCAGGACATGATTAGATCAAATTTAACAGCGAGGGTGGATAGTACATTTCTGTACACACAAACACAAGCTTTTTGTCAGGAATGCCAGTGCGGTCACTGATCCATCAATGTAGAAAAGTGATGTAAAATTATAATTTTCGTAATTTAAAAAAAATTGCATACTAACATCCAGGAAAACTCCGGATCATAGATATATGTGTATATCTCTGGCTTTGGATGGCCACAGTCCTCCACTGTAACTTGGTCCCACATTCATTTCAAAGGAGCGCTACCCTGTTCCAAAATGGCAGCTCTATTGACGCATTCCTTCCAATAGACAACAACAGGGTAGGCAACATCTAATGTATATATCTATGAGCACAGCGAGAGCAAGGTGAGGCATCATTTTTTAGCTGAAGAGACTTAAACCC